GGGGAATTGCAATTTAAAATCAAATGGTCCAAGAAAGCCTCACCCTAAAAGGTATTTGAATAAAGGTTTGAAAGAGGAAAAGCCAGATACACCATTGCCTGAAGTCAGAGCCATCTAGATAGAATGGCGCATATGAAGTACTGAGTAAAAAAATGCCTGGTGAATTTGAAAAGGGTTGAGGCCAATGTCCAGAGCAAGGGTGGAGGAGAAGGCAGGAGGCAAAGACAGAGGGGACGCATGGGGCCAGATCACAGGGAGGCTTTCTGGCCACAATGAGGATTTAACGACTACTTTGGATGAGATGCCAGCTTCAAGAGGCTCTGCACAGAAAGGTAAGATGAGCCACTTTTTTTTTTAACAGGATTGCTTTGATCAAAGGGGTCAAAAGCCGAAATAAACCTGGAGTGGTGGGAGGAATCTTTATTCCCAGCTACTCAGGAGGCTGAAGCAGAAGGATCACTTGAGCCTAGGAGGTGAGGCTGCAGTGAGCCAGGTGAGCACCACTGCACTCCAGCCTGGTTGACAAAGCGGGACCCCACCTCAAAATAAAAAAATTAATAATTTTTTTTCAAGGCATAAATGGGCAATACTGCCTTTAGATATATGCCAGTGGGGCCCTGCCATACACCAATGTTTTAAAGAGTTCTTCATAAAACAAGTGCACAATGTGTAAATTTATTATAGTACTCAGAGCACCTTGATTAGAGATAAGGGTTTAGTTCTGGCTTGGTACAATCTGTAATCTTTAATATGTGTTCCTATGACTAACACCCTTCAGGAACCCTGAGAAACTCATCTCCGTGCTGCTTACCCTCTGCACATCAAACAAAAGGTGACCGCCTCCAAACACCATCAGATTTACTGGGTTGTACTGCTACAATCATGGATGTGGCATGGAAAGAATTGAGCAATGGGTAGGCTTGATTAAGAGAAATGCATCTTAACTTATCAAGTCCTTCCTTTTGGGGACCACAAATACCATAGGTAACAGTGACAAGGGTCGCTGTTATATATCAATTGTGCTGGGCATTTATTTTCTTGCTTTCTCTTTGTGTTTCATTTTACTATTCTTGAGATTCTCGTGAACTACATGGCATCTGCAAAAGTTGCACATTTAATGGCTAAAAGATAAGAATTCATATCACCCAAATTTGTTTTAATGCAGGTCTAGACGGAAAATTTATAATGAATATAGGTTCTAAAATAGTGTTTTAAGAGATGATGAAATGGCAATATAAGTGATCATTGGTTTATATAATAAAATTTTAATATTTTGCAGTATTGTCTTCAATAGTAATAATGCATCTTATGCAACCCATCTTACACTTTGAACCAAACTTAATCATAAAATTACTACTGTATTTTCAAGTCTTATTGCCAATTCAGCTGAGAAACCTCTCTAAACAGAAATTAACTAAGAAATACAATGACTCAACAAAGGGGCTCAAATTTGACAAAACTGTCAACAGAACATGTATCGTATGGAAAGCCTGATTACAAAACATATCATATTTTTTTCTGAAATTAAGTTTTAAAAATAACATCTATGGGATAAATATAGAGTAATTTATGAATGAATGTTTTTGTCTTATTACTCATTCAAATTTCACCTGCCTATCACTAGGACACCTAGACATACACCAGAGTAATTAAGTCACCTTTGATATTTTGTTTACTGTAAGTCAAAAAAAGCCACAATTTTATTTATTTTTTTCAACACAAAGGCTTATATTTCAAAGTAGAAGGATAGAAGATATTTTAAATAAACATTTGTTAGCTTCACTTATAAGCTTTAAATATTTCATATTTCAACTTGTGGTATGTTGGCTACACTTGCATTTGAGCCTTGGATCTCTTATATGTTAGAGGAATGCTGTTGCAAAGTTATTGCTATAGTTGGCCGTAGTTTGACCCAGGATGTGGCAGTGAAGCAGTACTATTCCTCAAACTCTGTACACATTCTGAAGAAAGCTCCAAAAGGATTACCTGACAGATTAAGTAAAAAAGAGAAAAATAAAATGTCACAAGGTTTTTGGCCTGAACAGTTAAACAGAACTTGTATTATGTGAGTTAAGATAGGATGCAGGAGGATCAGCTTGATTTTGCCACGTTAAGCTTGGAATGTCCATTTCACTCTGAGCAGTTTAAGCAGTTTAGTACTCAGGGCTGGCATTCGGGTGTGTTTATTTGGTAGTCATCAGGGTAGAAAAAGGGTAGGGATTGTCTTCAAATCCTTGCGATGGGATTTGAATTTTCTACTTTTCTTCTACTTTTCTTGATTTTTCTACTTTTGACAAGATGGAAGATATGTTATTGTTGAAAGAAGGGAATACTCAGTTGTCCAGTTCTCCACCTTCATAGCAGAAAATGGCATGAAGAACCTTGAACCTCCCTCCCAAAGCCACTAGCAGAGAATAACAAATTTCAGGATGCCCTGAAAAGAACTCATAATCAACTACTCCTCCTGGATCCTAACCCTGAGCTCTTAACTCCAGATTTCCTATGAAATGTCTACCACAAACACTAGTGTAAGATGCTAACAGATACCCTAAATCTTACACATGAATTGTTGTACTCCTACTGGTGCTCTGCCTGGTTCTCTTTTGTATCACATCCTGTGGTATGGGTTTTTCTTCTCTCTTCCTAGGCTGCTTGTCTCTCAGCTTCCCCAAATTGCTCCAATCCACTCATAGAGATGATGTAAAGAAAAAAATAAACATAAGAACATATGAA